AACTCACCACGCCCGCCCAACTCAGGTTCCGTAGGAAGTTTGCCTCTTTGGCGATCTTCAGTTCAGTAGCTTGAATAATTCATTGGTTTTCCGACAGATACACCTCCGCCTGATAGCCCGATACTGCACCACCCCTCCTCCCCCAACCATAGGACAAGTTCACGCCACCTTTGCTCGGACTCACAACGAAGCCCGACAGCTACATGGCACGCCTCCCTCGTGCTAAGCGCCGGGGTATGGCAAGCGAACTCCGCGTAGTACTCAATAGGAAAACCTAACGTTAGCGCTTGCACGTCGCAGGACTAGAGCGCTACGGGGCTGCCTCCCACTTCGTCCGGGAAAAGAGGGTGGTTTTGTGAGCTTGCGCAGAAGCTTTGGCAATGGTGGCAAGAAACCTGGGCTCACGGCAATAAGAGGGAGGAGAAAGGGTGCAGATGTGATCAAAAGCTTATCCGGAACATCCTTCCTTGGTGGGCATCCTCAGAACCTTGGGTGTATGGGTACTTTGGCTTGAAAGGAATGGAGCACGACTCAAAAACATTCCAGTGAACCTGGACGGAGCCAAAGCCTGCATGCTGCGAAGTTTCAAAGACATCATCGAATCATATTGGCAGAAAAGACACAGATCTACGTTGCCACAGAAGGAAAAAGCAGAGAGATTTACCAAACAGTGGGCATCAGACCACTGTTCAGTGATACCAAATAAAAGAGGCAGACTACTGTTTTCCAGGATCTTGGACTCCAGAAGGGCATAGGCCCTGCAGCCCTATTAGGAGACTCTGGCCCTTCTCTGTAAATAATGTATATTAATCATATCTGTACAGAAATATATATCTATATATATATATATCGTCACAAACAGAACTGCCCGGTAAACCGTAGGCAGAGAGAGAGAAGAGGACAACAAACGAGGGGCTGTATATATATATCTATATATCTATATATCGTCAGAAATATATATGTATATATATATATATATATATATATATATATAACTCCCCTCTCTTTCCACCTCTTACCCTGAGTCTTTCCTTCCTATCTAATCCTTTATTTCCCTTTGAAATTCTTCCTTTCCCTCTCTCTATTCCTTCAACTACCAACCTTCAGAGAATCTCTAGATTACCATTCCATACAACTGAATTCATCCCAAACAATGTTATTTATCTACTTTTGTCATTATTATTCATTACTCTACTAATAATAAAGGAAATTTTACAACATATGTCACTCCTGCTTCGGGGGTACATTTCTTCAAATAGGAGGTTCAAATCTACCCCGGGCCGGTGGGCTGGGGAGAGATCCCAGGGCAAGGTCCCACTTGCACGGATCACGAGATTCTGGCCATTGATCTTTGATATCTACGGTCAATATCGACCTAGCCCCCGGTTGGTTGGTGTTACCTGTACCATACATACATAGACTACAGTAGTGAGAGGAAGAGATCGATGAGAAAGATAAGGGTTTTTTTTTTTTTTTTTTTTTTTTTTTCAAGCTGACCGGCCCCAAGCAATTCATTAGTAGTTGTTTTTTTCTCGATTTATGTGTGTCATCCTTGCGCAGGGGCCATGCTAATCTTCTCTGTATCGTTCCAATTTTAACGGATGTCCTGAAGGACTTAGGGGCTCGTTCGACACTCCTTGGGGCGTCCTCGGAGCCCGAGGAAAAATTCATTTTAGTCAAAAGGAAATTTGGGCCCTTTGTTCCACCTTGTCCTCGGGACGTCGCCCGAGGACGTTTCCTCGGAGCAATGTCAGAAAAGAAAAAAGGAAAAAAAAAAAAAAAAAGGGCTTCAGCCAATAGGGTGCCGCCACGATCCAGATTCTCAGTTGTAACGTCTCTCTACGCGTGTGCCCGCTCCTCTCCGTGAAAAGCGGATTCCTTTTGCCCAAGGGACCTCGTGAGGTCCCTTGGTGAGGTCCCTTGGGCAAACGGGAGAAATGGCTGGGGAATCCTCTGAGCCCGAGGAAGTTCCTTCGGAGTGTTTTCACTTCTTTTTTTTCCGACTGCACCCCCGAGGATAAGTGGAACGAACAATTCCTCGGGGATTTTAGGCGCCCGAGGAGTGTCGAACGAGCCCCTTAGTAGTTGGTTTTACTCGTCTACTCGTCAAGTTCCATCATCTGGGTAGTGACCTGCATTCGAACACAGGTCTGTATTTCAACAGTTCATGGGTGTACCCACTGAGCTACAGTCTTCCCCCGAATACAGCGTACGGTCATTATAGCTGAATTTGGTCTATCTCTCCGTCTTAATTCAGCTATAATGACCGTACGTTGTATTCGGGGGAAGACTGTAGGCTCTTGGGTAAAGATAAGTTCTATAGATACTAGACTAGACTGAGAGAAGAATGTACATCCTTTCCATTTCAGATAACAGACTACTACTGGGACCACATGGGTCGTTGGGTTTGGGTGCGATTCCGAAACGGGGACGAACAGTGGGCCGTCTTTAACATTTATGCCCCTGCTTATCAGCCTCTCAGAATAGATCTCTTTAAAACACTGTCATCCCTTCTCCCTAATGTAGACAAGGTCATATTGGGAGGGGACTGGAACACGGTACAACTCCCTGGGGTAGATTCCATTCAGATCACCCCGTTGTCTACAGACGCAGCTCATTTGGCAACATTTGTACAGACCCATGGGTACTCTGACGCCTATAGACTGCTTCATCCCTATGACCGCTCGTATACCTGGTTTGCTACAGGTGGGCAACAACAGCAATACCTTCCAAGGAGTAGAATAGACCTTTTTTTGGTTCCTGATGACTTGATACCGAAAGTGTGTGATTGTACAGTATTGCCACAGATAGGATCTGACCACCTCCCGGTCTTCCTGGAACTCTACCGCAATCTTAGCGTGCGAGTTTTCCATGAAAGGATCTCTTTACCGGAGTGGGTGGTCCTATCACCGGACTTCGAAAATTTTATGTCTGAATATTGGTCTAAGTGGGCTTCATCTAGATACCTGTTTCAGAGCACGGCTGGCTGGCTTGTAGGGGGACTTAGGAAGGTGCTAGCAAGAGGCAAGATGCTCCAAAAGATGTTGACAAACTTGAGAAAGTCGGAACTGTCAGCGATACACATGGAGATGGCGGAAATAATTGCTAACGCCTCTCGGGTGCCGGTAAATGAGCATGATTTGATGCGAGCTCTGGACGAGCTCAGACAGCGAGCGACATATGTGACATTACCGGCACTTAGGGAGACGGTGAATCGGAATAAAATCTCGTGGCTGATAAGAGGAGACAGAATGAATGCAGCTTTCTTTCGGCAACGTACACGAAAAACATCTCCCTCTCTGATGTTTTCCATGCGTCACCCATGGGATGCCGAACAGCCGGTGGCAAAGGACACGGCCGCTATACTGCAGAATGTGGCCTTATTTTATGAACATCTCCTGGCGTCCCAGGCACAGCATACGGAACAAGAACTGCTGCATGACTTCGCGGATACAGTGTGGGCAGCGCTTGGTCCAAAACTGTCACCCCCTGCAGCACAGAAACTGGATCGCAAAATAGAAATGGAGGAAGTTCATCTAGCACTGACGGCTTTGCCACCACACAAAGTGCCAGGCCAGGACGGTCTCCCTCTTCTATTTTTTACGAAACATCAGATGCGCTTGCTGCCGGAACTCACCGTGGTATTGCAGTCTGTGTTCGAAGGGGGGGTGCCTCCGGTGGAAATGGTCACAGGTATAGTGACATTTATCTACAAGAAAGGAGACAGAGCTGATGTGAGAAATTGGAGACCGATTACATTGATGCCAGTGCTATACAAAGTTCTATCCAAAATCTTGGCTCAGCGATTGCAACCGGTGTTGCCCTCGCTGATTCATGCATCTCAGACCGGTTTCCTGAAAGACAGGCAAATATTGTTTAATATAATGACGGTCGAACAGATCATGGAACTGGTTTCCGCAGGTGAGTCTTCCACAGCAATACTTCTGATTGACTTAGAAAAGGCGTACGATAGAGTGGGATGGGAATTCCTTCAAGCAGCCATGACGGTTTTCGGTTTTGGGGAGCGATTTAGACACGCGGTGTGTGCACTGCACACAGGGGCCGTCTCAAGACTAACAATCAACGGAAAGCTCTCCCCCCCCATTCACTTGGGGCGCTCTGTGCGGCAGGGTTGCCCAATGGCGCCCTATCTGTACCTCATTTATGTCGCAGTGATGCATGCGATGATCAGAGCCAACCCGCAAGTACCAGGATTTCCATTGCCATCAGGAGATTTCATCAAAACTGAGTCATTTGCTGATGATTCGGTGGCGTTTTTGCCGGTTCAAGATGAAGCATTTCAAGAGCTCAAAAACACCATCTCCCTCTTCTGCCACGTCTCGCAAGCGAGAGTGAACTGGGAGAAGTCATCTTTGTTCATTCCACCACAGGCCGTGCCACCCCAGAACTGGGGCTTGAGAGTTGTCACGCCGGCGCAGCACGACCGACTATTGGGCCACCGAATTTCTTTTGTGCCGGATTTGATGACAGACGCATCGACTGCAGTAGAAACGGTGAAGAAAGCACTCGCCCCTTGGGTGAGACAGAAAGGAGTTAGCCTGTTTGGTAGGTCGTTGGTGTTGAACAACGCAGTGTTCTCGACAATATGGTATCAAAGAGCGCTGCGTCAATTGGATGCCCCTGCTCAGCGCGCCATCAAAACTCTAGCTGGCCATTACTTGTGGAAAGAAGACATTTCATCGACCACATTCTTGCCAAAAGTCGCTTGGGAAGTTGTGACACAACCGAAAAGATCAGGTGGATTGGCAATCTTGGACCCAGCTTGTCAAGTCACGGCGTTGTTATCTAGATGGGTCCCTTGGGCGATTTTGCAAGGACCGTTTGTGCCATGGAGACAATTTGCTGAGTTCACACTGTGCACAGCATGGGACTGGACTGACCTGCGGTGTCTCTGGATAGCCATTCAAAACCCGGCTTACTTGGGGAAGCACTTGCCACAAGGAATCTGGCAAGGTATAGTGAAGGCGTGGAAAAAATGTTGCCCGAAGCTGTTGCCCCCTCCCATGTCGACTGACAGAATCCTGACTCAACCATTGTTTAATAACTCGCTGATTCTTACTCATGCGGCGATCCCCTTCCTCTGCTTCGGCAGGGGGGCGTTTGGTGACTCCTGGATGGCCACAGGTTTGGGAACAATGCAAGATATATGGGACGTGCATGTCAATGACTGGAAACCTTTTGAAGTCCTGGCTCAGCAACTGTCTGGATTGTGGAGACAAAGAGAACACTTGACTCAACTACAGCAAGCGGTACCTGAACAGTGGACTCGCTGCCTCAGGAATGGCCTCGCAAGCAATGCGCTCTCTGGGTCCTCCACTGCTGGAAACTCAGCAACCTTTGCCGCTTCCGCCGATTTCAGAGCTCACACCGGTCTGTGTCCTGGATTACTTGGACTATGTCCGACCTTTTGCCTTGGCAGTGCCTTCGTATCAGCTACCCTTGGACCCCAGGGACTGGGGATGGGCGGCCGAGACAAGGCAACACAAGATCACTCCACTGTACCGATACACAACGAAACAGGGGTACTGCCTCGCACATCAGAGGGTGGATGTGGATTGGGCGGTGGCCAAAAGATGGATGTCGACAGAATGGATCCATGATTCTCTCCCACGACTCTCGCAAAGCTTTTCGAGTTATTGGAAACTGCTGATGGATCTTCCGGTGGTTAAACAAGCGAGCTTCCTTTGGCAGATGGCCCACAWGGCTGTTCSCACGGCGCAATGGYGTGCAAGAAGAACAGCCAAGGCCACTCCGCTCTGCACTTTGTGCCCGGGAATGAGGATAGAGGATTTGCAACATATGTGCTTGCACTGCGAGATTTCCAGGCAACTGTGGGAATGGTGGAGATCGGGGACGGTCCCCATCCCGAACCACGACACCAGATGGGGAGACCAGTACTTGCTGCTCGGCGCAGTGTCCCGAAGACCAAATGGGAAGGGGCCCCTCGCATACCCGGAAGAGAGTTTGAGGGGAGCCATCCTTTGGACCTTATGGACACTACGGAACTCGGCGGTACGAAGGGGAGAGAGATTGACCCCGCCCATGATTCGGGCTGAAGTGAAATTCTCGATTAAACAGATGGTAGCCACTGACTGGTCCATGAAAGTACAGAACAGGGGATATGCACCGAGACCCCTGAGACAATTTTTGCAACACTGGGAAAGATTTCCGGGCTTGTTTCGGGTCCAGGACAGACAGCAACTGCCACCACAGCTGGAGTTTTCGCCCTTCTTCGTTTGAAATTTCGTACTTTTGTGAAAGGCTTGTAGGTTTCACATTGGTTAGATTTCAGTTACTAGGTTCTTGTAGGTTGCAGTACGTTTCGTTTGTTTCAGAAGGTTCTGACTGGGTTGAATTCAATAGGATTGTCAGTTTGTTTGGCACGAGTGGGGCAGGGGTYGGCTGGTTTTCAGTAGGCTCCACTACGTTTTGGTTTGTTTCGGTAGGTTTTCACTGGGTTGAAATCAATGGGATTGCAGGCTTTTGGCATAGGTTGGACAGGAGTTGGCTGGTAGGATTTCCAGCTGGAGTTGGGCCAATTGGCCATTAAGACTGCCCAGTTTATTTCTGATTAGAATATAGGTGGATACTCTTTCGAGCCAGGCCGGTGATGCCAAGCCCGAAGGGGGAGCCCACCCATCCTTTTTGTGAGGGACACCGGGCCCGTTTCCCGGTTTGTATAATATGGATTTCATTTTGTTAAAAAAAAGAAAAAGAAAAAAAAGAATATATCTACCTTAGTTTAAGAAAAAAGAAAAAGAGAAAACTACGGCGCAGTCAGGGTTCGAGTTTGTGACTGCACTTGAGGCAAAAGGGCCGGTAATGGTGAATGCATATGACCTACGTTTCGGGTCCGGTGGGGTCGCGTGGGGGTGTGTTGTATTGGCGGGATTGCCTGAAGTGCAATTACAAACTGTTTTCGTGACCCCAAAGAAAAAAGAAAAGAGGATTGGCTCAAGCTACTGAATCTGTATGTGTTCAAGTTTTATGCAGAGATGCAGAAAAGCAGACCAATCGCGATTTTCAGCACCTTTCCACAAAATCCTCCAGATTCGGGCGTTCAAATCCGATTTCCTTTGTTTGGGTGGTAGGCTGGTAGCCGCCTCCACCAGCAAAGAGGATTGAATCACTCTACTGAATCCGGACGTGTTTTACGCAGAGATGCGGAAAAAGCAGGTAAATCGGGATTTTCTGCGCCTGTCCGCAAAAAAACGGCGGCAGTCAGGAGTTCAAATGCAATCCACTTTGCTAGTGGGACCTCGCCACCAGTGGCCATACAAACGGTAGAGATACAAAGGGCCTCGCTCCACCTCTCTGTTTTTTTTTTTTTTGGGACAAATGGCAAAAGTCATGGCAGTGTATCTCTCCATGCTCTAGCGGAAGATTCACCCTCGTCTTGCACACGTCGAGAGTAGTCGAGCGAGGCTCGAGGCTCGAAGGCATGAAGAAGTGAGAAACGAAGACGCTTCCGGGGAAAAAAAAAGAAAAAAAAAGAAAAAAAAAGAAGGAGAAATGAAGACGCGAAGTGATGATGGGGCCAGAGATGAGGAGGAAGGGGGGACAAAAGAGGGGAAAAGAAGCCAAATGACGTTGGAGTGGGCAGGAAAAAAGGAAAAGCCCCTCAGACAACCTCGGACTCAGACGTGTAGGTCTGAGGCTACTGAAGTAGTGTTCATTGTTGCAGTCTTTTATCAGGGGCTGGATCCCCTCGGGGGCTAGGTCCCACTTGCACGAATTAAGAGATCCTGACCGTCCTGACCGTAGATAGCAAAGATCGACGGCCGAAATCTCCTAATTTGCGCAAGTGGGACGTTGCCCCTGGGTGTGGTCCCACCTTGTAAGCGAGACTGGGTAATGATTTCCCCGGGGCTAGGTCCCACTTACACGAATTAGGCGATATTGACCGTGCAAGTGGGACTAAGCGAAACTGGGCGTAGACTGTGAGGACCCCGTCCTCGTGATGTTTATTCGAAATAATATAAGCC